TAGGATTAGATATCGAAAGTCTATAGGGTCCAACGTTATGTATGATTAACTTACACTAATGATGCAAGGTTAGTGGAAGTTTCATGAATGCGTGGGTTGTGTTAGGCCGGTAGGTCAGTCGTGATTTAGTTAGCCTTCCTATAGGAGTGAGGATTGAGCGCTCGCTATGCTTATGTATATTGTTAGGGTGTTGTGGTGATACTTGAGACAAATATGGGTAGGTGTGGAAGGTAGTATGGGCCTGTACTACTGAAAGCATAGGACCCATACGCATATCAAGAAAGTCACAACCCTAAGGGTTTAGTCGGGATTTGGTTCCCAGTTATTTATGTGGATTATCTAATATCTTGTGGTATGTTTCAGAATGGTGATGACGAGACGCTTTCTGATTGGATTCGGTTCAGGATGAGGAGACAGAGACAAAGGTGAGGAGGGGCCAACAACACCTAAGCCCATAGTGCAGATGGGTACGGAGGAGTTGGATGCTAGGATTTGGGAGATCCTGCATGATCAGGTTGCTGATGTGTTTTGGGCACAGCTGTCAGAAATGTTTGGGTCTATTAAGACCTCCATGGTTGAGTACTTCAACGAGCGATACACATCCATTGCAAAGACGGCTGTCGCTGCAGCTGCATCGGCTGTGACAGCGGTAGGGGGAAGAGGAGGAGCCACTCGGGGGCTTCCAGTACAGGTACTTCGATAACACAAAGCCCCTTACTTTTGATGGGATGCAGGACCCCATCAAGGCTATGAAGTGGATCTCAGATGTGGAGCGATGTTTCTTTACCTGATCGTGTCCTATTGTCCAGAAGGTTAGGTGTGCTCTGAACCTGCTAAGGTCCGGGGCTAAGGACCAGTGGAGATTGGCGACTAGGTGGTACACTGATGATCAAAGAGTTGCTATTACTTGGGAGCAGTTCAGGGATATGTTCCGCGCCCAATACATTCCACGAGTCGATCGGGAATGGTTGTCACAAGATTTTATGAGTTTGAGATAGGAGGGGGAGTCGGTGATGGAGATCACCCGCATGTTCACAGAGAGGGCGATGTTTTGCCCAGAGTTTGCTTCTAAGCGGGCTCAAATGACCCGTTATCTGAGCATGCTCAGGACTGACATCCGTCAATTTGTGTCTACCCAGCGATGTGACACTCTTTTGGAGTTGCAGGAGGTTGATAGGCGGCGTGAGTTAGAGATTGAGCTGCAGATGAGGGAGTAGCAGCAAGCCCCAGTGCAGTCACAACCGGCGCCTAAGCGGTCTAAGACTTCTGATTCTAGGACCGGGTTCAGCAGAGCCGTACTTGTGGAAAGTGCAGCAAGAGTCATTTTGGAGTTTGTCGGACAAGTAGTGGGTGCCATAAGTGTGGCAAAGAGGGGCACTATGCTAGGGATTGTTGCCAGATAGCCCCTGCATTAGATATGAGGATATGTTATCACTGTCATCAGGTTGGTCGTGTGAAGACCAATTGTCCTCAGCTTGCAGCCAGGCCGACACAGGCTTTAGCGTTGGCTACATTGAGGATACCGGATGGGAGGCCAGTCAAGACATAGCCTCTGAAGGCTCTGGAGCATGCCTTCCAGCTGACAGCGCTAGATGTGGTTGCCGATATGTCTCTCTCCTTTATTTCATTTATTATAATTGTTTTATGCTTATCTGTTGTATCTGTGATTAGGTGCGTTTTTAGTGAACTCTTTACCTGCTTTGTTTTTATTTGACTCGGAGGCGAGTTGGTCCTTCGTATCTCAGTCGTTTAGTAAGGAGTTCAGTATGCCAGTCGGCAAGTTAGAGTGTCCGTTGCGACTCTCTATCGCCAACGAACACAAGGCTACTGCGTCTTCGGTCTACCAAGGGTGTGAGTTGGAGATTTATGTGGTGTCCTTTCCAATAGATTTGATTTCGATCCACATGGGGGAGGTGTGTGTGATTGTAGGGATGGATTGGCTTAGTCGGTTCGGTGCTATGATTGATTGTGAGGGCCAACGAGTGGTAGTTCGAAGCCTAAGTAGGGGAGAACTAATTGTATATGGTGAGGGCACTAGAGTGGGATCGGGGTTTGTTTCAGCTGCCAGGGCTCAACAGTATATTCAGCACGGGTGTGCAAGTTATCTAGCATATGTGGTGGATACGCGATTCAGGGATCATATTTAAGTTTCAGATGTTCTAGTGGTTAGGGAGTTTGCCGACGTATTCCCGAAGGAGTTATCAGGGATACCACCGGAGAGGCAGGTCGAGTTCCTGATCGACCTGGTGTCGGGTGCGACTCCTACCACCAAGTCGCTGTACCGGTTGGCCCCACCCGAGATGCAGGAGCTGTTTTCACAGCTGTAGGAACTATTGGGCAAGCAGTTCATTCGACCTAGCAGTTCTCCATGGGGAGCACTGATTCACTTCGTCAGGAAGAAGGATGGTTCGCACCGGATGTGCATTGATTATAAGGAGTTGAACAAATTAACGGTGAAGAACCGTTATCCACTCCCAAGGATAGATGATATCTTTGATCAGTTACAGGGTGCATCTTGGTTCTCCAAGATAGACTTGAGGTCGGGGTATCATCAGGTCCGGGTCAGAGAGGATGATGTGGAGAAGACTGTGTTTCAGACTCGTTATGGTCATTACGAGTGGTGATGCCATTTGGGCTCACCAACACGCCAACCATATTTATGGATCTGATGAATCGGGTTTGCAGACCAATGCTTGATCGCTCGGTCATCGTATTTATTGATGATATCTTGGTATATTCCAAGACCTGAGAGCATCATGAGGAGCACCTTAGGGAGTTGTTGGGAGTCCTGAGACGAGAACGGTTGCATGCCAAGTTCTCGAAGTGTGAGTTTTGGTTACGAGAGGTCTAGTTCCTCGTACATCTCGTCAACCAGGAGGGGATTTTGGTCGAACCAGACAAAATCAAGACAGTCATGCTGTGGGAGGTGTCGAGATCTCATCAACCAGGAGGGGATTATGATTAACTATGTAACATAATGTTGGTTTGTATTTTTTTTGTGGTGTGAAAACCACATTTAGAAAATATTTTATGGTAGTTCTTTTCAAACAATCAACATATGAATATGTTTTAAAATAATTGCATGCAGTGGCGGCCATGGGGCGTGCGGACGGTGTGGTCGCACGAGGCCTTCGATTTTAAGGGGCCTCCAAATTTCTGGACAAATCTATAGTTATACTGATGGTATTTTCATAAGATGCATTTTTATGTGTTATCATTAAAGAAAATTAGTCGCCGGTTATGTATATACACATTGTAACATTTGGTTGCAATCTTAATTTCTTTTTAATTATGAAAAAATATCAAAGAAAATCATAAATCAAAATCTAATCATAAATTCTAAAATTTATCAACAATTTAAGGAAAATATCTATATCTAAAGAAAAATACAAATTTGTTTCTAATATATATATATATATATATATATATATTTTCATATTTTATAAACCCACCAAAAAGTAATAACAAATTAAACCCTAACAACCCTAATAACGGTGCGAGTGGATCACTAGTGTTACTCGTCTCTCTTGCAGAAAATTATCATTTTACTGTCTTGAATTTTGATATTTGAGTTAGTGGTCATCGCTTTGTACTCCTCTAAATGACTCGCTGACAGTTAGTATCTCTTAGCTTTTTTAATTTCCCAAACGTGCTTGACTACTTTCTCTCCTATGTTGAATGGGTCAAACATGAAGGAAAAACATGAGTCTATACAAAACGATCTTTTAGATATTTGTCCTAGATCATTATACACCCCGTGCGCTTCACATTATATTAACATGACATTCCCAAGTATGATAAATTCTTATGAAAAAGAAGTTAAGTTTGTGGAGTTATTCAACGTATTTATACATTGTTTATTGATTCGACAAACAATTGTAAGTTTTAAAAGATATTTTATCAAAACAAAGTCTCACTTTAAAATATTTTCAACTACAAGGTGGGAAAATAGGATTGAAATTATGAAAGCAATAGTAACTCAAGCTCCTAAAATAATAGAAACTTTATATAAACTTGTTGATGAAGAGACATATATAAATATAAAAAGTTAAGCTACTCGTCTAGCACAATATGAACTTGACAGATTTGACTTTGTTATCAACTTTAAGTTTTGAATTTAACGGTAACAAATATACTTAATAATATTTTATAAGATTATTTTATAGGGTTTCATTTTGATTTTCCCACAAAGCCTTCAAAATGTCAGGTCAGCCCTTCTTACATGCAACCTTTTTAAGTTTTATTATGTTATGTTTCGCCTTACATGTTTTTTACGGTTCCATAGACAATGACCATTAAGTGGTCTTTATGGCATGTTTTTGCAAACAAGATCACCTTTAAATTAATCAAAATGTTTTTGCATACAAAATTACCTTTACAATAACCAAAATACTATTACAAAAACATCAACCAAAATACCATTACACCAAAAAAAACCCAAAAAACAAAATGACCATTACAATACTAACCGCTACTACATACAATACTAAGCTTATATATCTTAACTTCAGTAACTGTAAGTTGAAAGCCTTCTTCAATCCTGTTTTTTTGACCTAAACAAGTCGTGAATATTTTTTCATGACCTAGGGTACATTGGTGGTTCAATCCATCCAATGAATGAACACTTCGATCCAAATTTAAGCAGGCCCAAAACCTTCAACCTAGATTGTTGCCTGTCTACGATTTCAATATTTAAGTTGATCACCACAAAAACAAAGCCACCAACATTGTCTTCGTGTTCTTTCGGAACCGTTAGAGAAGAAAGGGGGAAGATAACGAGAACACAAGTTAGGAAATAGGTTTTTTAAATAAGTCAAGGTGAAATAGTAACTTTTTTTTACCCTCAAAATGGTATGCACGTGAGGGCAATTAACGACATGTTTTTGATGTTGACGGAAGGACCATTTCCGCAATGTTGACAAAAGACAAAACCGAGTTTGTCCATTGTTTTGAATGTGGACTGGAAACGCCTATTTCCTCATACCACATGAACCATTTATGTAATTTTGTCAATAATTAGATTGATTTGAAATTCATTTACGACTTACGTAAAGCGAACATCACTGCCGCTGCATTGTTAGTCCAAAACCGTCTGCAATGGAGGAACAACGGCAACTGTCTTCGCCTGAAATGGCTAAGTTCCAACTGAAAGACACCATTGAAGCTCTGCTGAAGTTTACCCTTACTTTATCCATCGAAGAATCCCTGGATTTAGGTTTATCGAAGGAATTTTGCTCTAATCTCCTCAAGGACGACGAAGACGATAGCACTTACCCCTCTTCAACATCAAATCCAGGTATCCATCCCAAACTTTACCCACCAGTTCCATTTCCGCGACTTCGTTTTCGTTTTCCACAATTTTCCAAACTTCCTTTGATTTGAAGTACTTTCCGTCCTAAAAAAGTCGGTACTTCCCCCCTTTGAGAGTCCGCTAAGGCTTCCATGCAGAAATTGAGATAAATGGCTTTCATCAATTGCGTTTAGTTTCAATTCAATTATTTTGGAATTGGACGAATGTTGGAGTTTGATAGTTATCAGTTAGCCTGGTAATCGGCTGAAACTTATTGCAGATCTGTCGGAAGGTGTTCCTCCATACCCCTTATACAAGCACTTAGCATCAGCTTTGTGCAAGTCGATATCCAATAGGGCTATTCATAGTATCAAAGCCAATATTCCCTTGATCCATGAAGATTCTTCCATGAAACAGAAAGAACACGAGTGGAACAAGATTATCCTGGAAAAAGGATCTGATCTAGTAAATGTATGTTGTATTCTGTCATCTGTAACATCATTCAGTTCATATCATCACAGTTATTCTTTAACAGAAGCTTCCATTTCTTCTTTCCTTCATCTTTACCGGGTTATAATTTCATCTCACAATCAGATGCTGGAGACTGTGGGATTTGGACTTCATGTTCAGGAGCCCTTTTTCTCACAAATCAAAGGTCCTAGCATAACTGCATAACACTTGATTCTTTCTCTATCGTTGTACTCATCTGATCATAAGAAGCTTATCTCTCAAACTGTTTACATATACTTGTAGATGGGAAGAAAACAATTGAAGGAAGGTGTGCTGGTGGTGACTACAACCGGTATATGTAAAAAAGTTATTAACATATGCAAATATATTGTTCATTTTGATGAACTAATATGCAGATTTATATGTAATCTATTTCAGGTTTAAGTTTTGCTTCGAAAAAACCTATAATTGTGTTATCGGGTTAATTAATAACCCTTTACTAATAATTGCTTTTCCCAATTCCTGATGGGTTTTAATTATCAGTATTGAATCAGGATCTTTGGTTCTCTTCAACAAATGTTTGTTGCTTCAAGTTCATGATGTTCATTACTATGCTTCATTTTCTGACATGTTAGCAACTGAGGATCTTGCTAAAGTTCTACCAGGTGTAAAAACTGTTGAAGAAGGTAATCATCTTTGATTTGTTAATATCTGCATTGTTTCTATGACCTAATAACTAAATCAATAGCAGCTAAATGTCTTGACAATGACAATAATTACCATGTGATTTCAGGGGTAGAAATTTATAGGAGGTTTTATTCTGAAGAAAAGGAAAGGGAAAATGGGGTTCTTGCAATATTTCTTACAAAACCTACATCACAGCTTTATGATCATTTGGTAGCTATTCTTGAGGTTAGTTGCTTCAAGTCTTGTAATTTTCAATCATACACAAACATCTTGCTATTGGATCATATGACCTTTTGTTATATAAAATAAAATATTCTTCAATATAGGGTTAGTTACAAACAATAGAAATGTTCTTACGTTTATTTGTTTATTATAGTATCCTACTTTTATTTCTTTGTCATACATACGCAAAGCAATTATCCTTGCTATATTTGAGTAGATTTTTCAAAGCAAAATGTCCTAATAAGAAAAAAAAAAATCCAATATTGTAGAAAGAATGATTAATTTTATTTACTTAATGCAGAAAGAACGATTTAATAGAGAAAAATCTAGGGAACCCTATTAAGTCCTAATAAATGGTTTCCTTGGATTTATAAATTCTACTCATTTTGTAATTTCTAATATTTGGTGTAGGCATTGCATTACGAAGGTGTTACGAGGCTTTTAGGCATTTCACACACTGTAGGAACAATTCCCGATGCACTTCCTCTCCCAAGATCTTCCTTGCTCTCTGCTTTTTCAACACCACATAATCCAAATGTATGATAAGTACTTGTGATAGTGACACTCTTTTTGGCCTAATTTTTTATGCAGAACAGAAGAGGACAGGACAGGACATGACATCGTTTTATGTAGTTTATGAAGGATTGTCAATTTGTCATTATGTATAATTATATATATACATCTAATTTGATTATTTGTTGTTATTCATATATCCATGAAATCCACTCGATCTCTTCTTTGTGACAACTTGATTTCCTCTTTGGTTTTGAGGTTAAAACTTCGATTTTGAGTGATGGAGCTAGGGCGTTGGCTAAGCATGTAAACAGAAGCGATGGGAAATTTTGGGGTTCCTTCGCCGGAAATGGTTGGTATTTACGTTTTTACCCTTTTGGGCGTGTATTCTTCTCCCATTCAATCTATGAATATTTTATTTATTTATTTATTTTACTTTTCAAGTTGATGTCTTTGAGTTGAGGCCATGTTTATTAGACACGACTCGATTTGATAGGACTGACTGAACAAGTTTTTTGGGTGTCAGCTTCGATGATGAGGGTATTCACGTCTTTTACACAGTCGAGAGATTGAGAGAATGTCTATGCCTTACTTTTTTGGGTGGGATTAATTTTTGTCCTATTGACATCAATCTCGGTTGTCTCATCCACGATACTAACACATTATACAACCTGTTTTGTTTTGTTATGTCCTAACTAAAGTCTAAAGAAATTTGAACTCACAACCTAAGGGTGCGTTTAATTGCGAAAAAATGGGTCATTTTTCGCAAAAATTTTCCAAGAAAAATGTGAATTTTGAAAACGCGTTTAGTTTGTCTATTTTTCTAAATTTTCCACGGAAAATGAAAAATTTTCGTTTTCTAAAATTGCAAAGAAATTGGAAATTTTTGGAAAACCGATAATAATTGTTTTCTATATTTTTCTAATTTCAAATATTTTCTTAAATATAAACACCCACTCTTACCCCATCCACCTCTATTCGCCCTCACCGTAATACCCCCAACTCACTACACCCTTACTTACCTGCATTCACTCCCAAGCCCACCCTCACAAACACAAACTCACTCACTCACACACATACACCCACCCAAACACCCCCCCCCCCCCCCCCCCCACACACACACACACACACATACCTATAAACACACACGCGCACTCACCCACAAATTCACACCCACCCAACACCACTATCACAACCACCGATCTACCATCACCATTACTACCCCCATTACCCTATCGCCAACAACACCACGACCACCATCACCACCACTGCCATAATTGCTGCCGCCACCACCACTGCCTGTCATCACCACCACCGTTGCCACCGCCACCACCATCGTCGCCATCACCGACACCACTGATAGAAAAATAAACATGTAAACATGTTTTCTAATTTTCTAAAACTGAAAATGAAAAATGAATAAGTTTTAACTAAACGCGTTTTCTAAATTTTCGAATGAAAACCGAAAACTAAAAAGAGAAAACGAAAACAGAAATTGAAAATTGTTTTTCCGTAACTAAACACAACCTAACTACTTACTACTTAGGGTGCCTTTGGTCGTGAAAAGTTCTCCATTTTTCTATGAAAATTTCAAATGAAAATAAAAGTTATTAAAACGTGTTTGGTTGATTCAGTTTTCAAATTTTTTCCAAGAAAATGAAAATTTTCTGTTTCCCAAATTATATGTAAATTAAAAAAGTGATTTTTATATGTTTTCAAAATTTTCAAAATTTCTAAGATGAAAATTGAAAATAAAAATTCAACTTTATTTTAACCAAACTTGCTTTTTAAAATTATCATTGAAAATTGAAAAAGAGAATTCAACTTTATTTTCTAGAAACGTTTTCTAGATAAATAAAAATAGTTTTCTACAACCAAACACACCTTATAAAAACTAGGAGAGTTTTTCAATTTCCATTTTAGAAATTTTAAAAACTTTTGAAAACCGTAACTATCACTTTTTTTTTTTTTTTTTATTTTTTTATTTTTTTTTATTTTAATTTTCATATAATTTCAAAAGAAGATTTCTTTTTTTTGAAAACTGAATGCACTCTTCCTTGTTTTCATCGTGTTCAGAGTCTCATAAGAATATGCTTGCCTTAAATGTAATCAATCACTTGGTGGCCCATTGTCGTTGGATAAATGCGCATATTATTCCACCACATGGGCCCGTTTTCGAGATCCGAGTTCATGATGGTTATGGTGCTCGATGGGCCTTAAACCCGCCCAAGGTATCATCACACAACCCTTTCCAAATTGTTTCTGTTTCCCATTTATCACCAAAATATTATTCACTAGGGTTTTTTCATATAGAAAATTATATAAATCATCCATGTTGACAAATAATTGAAATTACTGATACCAGATAAGATAATTTTATTACATCGATATTTTTGGAAAGCTTTTTGTTCTTGTAGCGTTTAACTTAACGACAAGCTGTTAAATCCATATAAAATGATAACTTTCAGTCCAGCTGTAAAATTACAAATTTACTTTTATCTAATTCAATCTTCTTCGTCCATGTCGTCGATTCCCTAGGATGTAATTAACTAATTTTTGGGGGATATGCCTTATAATATTACTATTTATCAAATACTAAATATTTTTCAACCATTAAATTATCTATTGTGGTATTATATTTTATCCCTGTACTTAAATCACATTTTCATTTTCTTTTGTTTAATTATATTTTATATTTAAATATTAAAAACAAAATAAATATTATAATAGCCTTTTATGCGGGGTGCATAAAAGGCTTCAAATAGACGATGATAAGTATTAAAAGGTTTTAAAAAAGCTTATACATTTGAAATGATTTATAAAATGTGTCTCCTATAGTGAAACATGATATAATAGAATGAATAAGTTCTATAATAGGTCAAACCATAATGGATGTTTTAAGTTTTAGAGTTCCTAAACAACCAGCTAAAAAGATAATGTCAAGTTATGAGTTATATAATTTTTTTGGGACAATATCCATAATTTTTGTTATAATACAAGCACCATTATTTATATAATGTACTCTTAAAATTAATTTTGTAGTTCATTGGATTTCTTGAGCCATACATGGAGGATGGTCATGCAAGGGGATGGAAACATTAATATTTAATATTAGCAAAAAATAGACAAATGGTTGTCATCGTGATAGTAATGGATCAATTAAGGACGGCAATTAATATTCTTTTTAGCCAACTTAATTAATTACATTTTACGTTTATGGGGACAATTTCATAAGATTCTCCAAAAGCAAAATGGATGGATGCATACAATGACTAACAAGTCGATATCCGTCATCGTAATGAAGACTTCTATTTTGATTTTAGGGAACCAAAAACATTGGTCATTTCGGTTTCTTATGTACCCTTGATTTAGTTTTTTGCATTTTTTTTTTCTATTTATAAATCTTTGTTTTATAGATTTTTATGTTTAACGCTAGCATGTACATTATATTCTGTTTTCGTATATTATCCCCCAAAATTGTCTTTCATGTTAGCTAATTTATTAAAAGATTCAAAGATGATATGATTCTTGAAAATAAACCAAATTCCATAACTTTTTTGTTGGTTAACCACTAATTTCGCTGCGTATATAGATTTAATCACGAAAGTTTTTTTTTCTTCTATACGCTCTACACTAAATTTTTTTTACATTGTTCATAAAATGCAATTATGACCGATTATTATAGATTTTGTTTAACCATTTAGTTTCTAATAATTTGTTTGCACATTTAGTCAATAATTTTTCTTGTATATATTTAATCATTAATCTACACATTGGAAGAATGTTTTTCTATATAAAGCTTTCTTTTAAAAAATTCAAAGATTTAAAAGCTATATCATAAAATATAAATTCTTTGATTGGTTGAAAAGAAAAAAATTTCAAAGTATCATAACTTTAATGGAACTAAAACTGTATTTCGTTTTCAAAAAAGTTTTAATGGTTAAATTCAAAAAATATTTTGTTTTTTCAAAAATAAAATGATTTTTTTTTGTGGGATTTGATCATACTAAAAATATTTTTTTGATTTAAGCATTGAAACTTTGATATAGACCTGACAAACGTGTCGTGTCGTGTTGGGTTCGTGTCGTGTCAAGACCTTAAACGGGTTGAAAGGGCTTGACTCTAACCTGACCCGTTTAATTATCGTGTTGTGCCGTGTCAACCCGTTTGTTTTTGTGCTGGTTTTGTGTCGGGTTAAAGTTTAGGCCTTGTAAATATATTGTGTCATGTCGGGTTGAAATATTTTAAAGGTTGGAAAGTAAGAGTTGTGGAAGAAAAAAGGAAAAAGTGAAACACTAAGGTGCTGTTTGTTTTTTGGAAAAAACCTCTTCAAACCTCTTATTGTTGCGCGGCGCAGCACATGCGCATCACTTTTCATCTCGTAGCTGTTTGTTTTTTAGAAGTCTTCAAAGTCAAAAACCTCTGCACGTGCTCTATTTGGCGCAACACTTGTACTGCTTCTTCCAACCTTTTTTTTTTTTTTTTTTTTTTTTTTTTTTTTTTTTTTTTTTAATTATGTGTTGTTGAAATTTTATTTCACTTTTTTCTATTTTTTTTTGTTTATTCTTATTGACTTTTTTTTTCGTTTCTTTATATTGAATATGATAATTTTTGATGAAATATCATTATTTTTTTTACTAAATATTTTTGTTTTTTTTTTTGTTGAAATATCATTATTTTTTACTGAATTATCATTAATTTTTGCCGAAATATTATACATTATTAAATTTTCCGTATTAAAAAACTATTTTTGATTTATAAAATTAGTGTATTTTAATTTTTTAATATCTGCAGCAGTATGTAGATGTTAAAAAAAACAAACATGTTTCTTATTACAGTCTGCAGCCGTTTGATCCACCTCTTCTACTGCAGAGGGTTGTAGAGGTGGTCCGTAGACTTCATGAATTTTTGCTTCAGAAAATCAAACAGCACCTAAAGTTATGAGATTGAATGACAAAATTTATAGTAAGTTTAGAAGGAAAGATAAAAAGAGTTAAAGTTTAAGAGCAAAAGGGATATGTGGTGAGGATGACTAAACTTTAGTAACTTTTAAAATTTGAATATTACTTCTAATTATTGAGGCCTACTACAAGTCTATAAAATATAATATATTTATAAAAATATGAAATTTATAATAAATAATATAAATTAAACGGGTCATATTCGAGTCATCTTCGAGTTGAACATCTTGATCCTAATCCTACCCGTTTAATTATCGTATCAAACAGTTTGCCAATTACATCGATAGTTTTGTTTTGGAATGACAAATTATATTAACCTGCTAACAAGAAGCTAGTAAAAGAAGTAAACAAGTTACAAGGAAATAAAAACTAAGGACTTTTGTGTAAACTAACAACATAGTTTATTAATACTTTTTAATATGTATGTAGATATGTATTTTTTTTTTATCTATTATTAATGAAAATAAATATCAAAGCTCGTAAAGAAACAAACTAATTACAAGGAATTAAATTTATTTTATTAATCTAAAAACAATTCAAGTTGAATCATCATTAACTACCATGAATTTCACCATTTGTATCCATTTGTTTTTAAGCATGACCTAGGGCTCCATTTACAATGCATGGAATTTTGGAAGAAACCTTAATGTTTTGCTAAGAAGTGGAAACTAATATGGATTGAAATATTAGATTATATAGGTATTGGTTTATTTGATTATATTCAGAATGAATTTCCAAGAAAATAGAGTTTAAGTTGTATCATCAATTCCAAAATTGTGAATTCGATGCTAAAGACTTTTATGTAACATAATTAGCAACATAGTTTACTGATAGTTTTTAGAGTAAATTACACGAATGATCCCTATGGTTTGGGGTAATTTGTGCGTTTGGTCCCTAACATATGTTTTTAACTGGGTAAGTACTGTTTGTTTTTGTTATGCGCCTGATCCCTATTGTTTATTTTTGTTACGCGTTTGGTCTCTATCTTACCTAAAAAGACTATTAGTTAAATAGGAAAAAATGGTGGGATATGTAAGGTAAAGTGAAGGGTGATGTTGGAGGTGTATTTATTTAAATAAGTTAAAAAATCAAGGATAAAATAGCTTTTTTAGATAAGAAAGAGACCAAATACGTAACAAAAACAAATAGAAGGGGTTTTCTGAGTTAAAAGAATAAGTTAAAGACTAAACGTGCAAATTACCCTAAACCATTAGGACCATTTGTGTAATTTACTCTAGTTTTTAATATATATATATATATATATATATATATATATATATATATATATATATATATATATATATATATATATATATATATATATATATATATATATATATATATATATATATATATATATATATATATATATATATATATATATATATATAGGAGTAGGATCAAATGAGAACACCTAAAAGGTTGAGAACGCGAGAACAAATCTGGGCCATTTAAATATTTAGATCTAAGGTTATTATTAAACGGACGATTTATGAAAAATTCTAAAACTACGGGCATTAAAGTGTAACTTTTAAATTGCCAGAAGGGCATAATAGGAACTGCAAATTTACATATTCCCTACAATTTCTCACCCTCTCTCCTCTTTCCGTTCATAATCATGTATCTTTATCTCCTTCGCTCTCTCTTTAGGGTTTCAAAATAAACGACTCTCTCAATGAATTCGGTTCCCTTTTCTTCCCTCTCTTCCCATCGATCGATCCACTGCTGTCTTACCCCAACTTTAGGTTTGAATCCACGTATCAAATCAGCGACATTGGATTCTAGTTCCACAATAATCCTCGACGATCCGACATCGGCTTCCGATTCAGAAGAAGATAGTCCAGCGAAGATCCAACGAAGATCGGCGCTAGGGTTAGCGTAAACAGCCAAGGCATCAGTTCTTTATGTTATTTCGTTGAAGACATCAGTTTATGTTATTTCGTCTCCGTGGTCGACGAGGCTGAAGAGGAGGAAACGAGGAGGCAGCGAGGGGTGGGTTGTGGGTCTCGGTGGATTGAAGATGGGGCATCTTTGGTGATTGCTGGATCAAAGAGAAGAATAAAATAGAATGGAAGCAGCGGGATGTGGGGTCTGCAATTGGTTTCCGCCTCCGGTGACAAAAGCCCTGATATTGGGTTGTTTGGTGATTGAGAAGGGCAGCAACGATTCAAAAATAGGTAAGGGCTTCTTTTTTTTATTCTTGTTTGATTTGGCAGAACTCAATAGGCTATTTTTTTGTTCTTGTTTGATTAGTGAATACGAGCATAATCGTTGTATATATACAACGATAAGCCTCATGCCTTCATCGTTATGCCACTCGATTGCATGATTCTTTGCTTCAATTATGTGCATCACTAATGATCAAAATTTTGTTTTTCTGATTTTATTAGTTTGCCAAAGTTTGGATTGACGAGACTCGTTTGATCTGTATATTTTGATTTTCCACCAGATATCCGAAACCCTACCTTTTCGTATTACATATGTATGTTTGTTTATGTTGTGGTTGAGATTCGAATGGTTATGTTATTAAATCGATTCAGTTGGTAGATTTGAAACGAAATAAAATGGAAGTTATTTGCTTCGAGAAACTGATGCTTGTCCGGTTCGAAGTGTTGGATTGAAAAATAAACGAGTTTGGGACTGGTAATGGTTCTGTTTAAAGAAAGATTGGTGCTTCGGTTTTTATCTGTTTCAATTCCGTGTGCCTGAGACGAGTTCATTTATGAATATAATTACAATTATAGAAATTCATATGTATTTTGTATTTTGTTCAGTCTCTTCATTTACTAAATTTGCTTCATTTAATTAATTGTTAATTGTATTTAATTCTGATTTTTGGGTTTTCTATCAAGAACATGAAATGATGAAGTATGAAATTATTTCAGGAGCGAAGAAAGAACAATATGGAGCCCCTCTACCGATTTGGTGGTTCATCGCAGTAGTGGAGTGGCAGGGGGTATTCTGGAAACCTCTTCACCACTTCATTCTCTTGTTCCAGTTACTGTCGATGAGAGGGGGAGGAAGCAGAAAGAAAATGACAACAGGGGGTGTTTGGGTTGCTTGGTGTGTCATAAAACAGTGGGAGAAAATGGAAGGGGCTGTTGCTCTTGGCTAGCCGGAAACCACTAGCAAACACCTCTAGTGGGGGTGTTTTTGTTGCACCTTGAAGATAGGACAAAAATAAAGGAGTGTGAGAGGAAATAGAAGAATGAAAAATTGTATTTATCTGTGAATAGCAGTGCATTCATGTGTGAATAATAGTAAATGAATAGCAGTGCATTCATGTGTGAATAGCAGTATATTCATTTGTGAATAACATTGAATGAATGTATTTATTTATGATTAGAGGTATTCATTTATTCAATTCTGAATAACAATGTACTTATTTGTTAATAGGAGTGTATTCATTTGTGAATAACAGTGTAAGCATGTGTTAATCAGTATATTTATTTATGATTAGAGGTATTCTTTTTGTGGAGAAATGATAATTTTTACAATCTTTTTTACTC